GAGAGAGAGAGAGAGAGAGAGAGAGAGAGAGAGAGAGAGAGAGAGAGAGAGAGGTGCACAGGCTGGGTACTGCCTTCATGTAGGTAGTGCCCAATTCGCTCCCTGTCTATAAACCTGCTGTAAACTTTTCTTTTGTTTTCTTTTCTTTTCTTCTCTCTTTTCTTCTTCTTCTTTTCCTTCTTCTCCTCTTCTTCCTTTTTTTTTTTCTTTTCCTTTTTTTTTTCAGATTTGTCGGGACGTCAGTCCGGCCGGACATCATGCTCTGTCTGGGTCCGGCTCCGGCGTAACCATGCAAAAAATTCGAAAAACAACTATGTTATGCATAAAAATAAACTGAGCAACTTTTGGCTCATTAAAATTCTTTACCAAAAAAAAAGTATACTATTCTAGGAATTCTTTCAGAAGGAATTGCTTGTAGAAAATTTATGAGCTTAGTCCGAAAATCCCTAAGTGTTAGATATGCTCTTACGTTCTTGCGAACGCCTCTACTATGTAACATTACGTTACATCAGTTGGACAAATACATATATGAGACCCTAAAGGAGCAATACGACAAGCACGAAGTGGCATCCAGACCAGGACTTACAAGGCCTCGCTTTCAAAGAATTATGGTAAGATGCGTGCACTTCAGACAAGACTGGCACAAAGTTTACACGCCAGATTGTTAGCCGTTCGACGTGCCACTATGGACAACTCTTCGACGAGAGGAAGAATGGAATTAGTTCGAACACTGAAGTTTGTATTAAAAAAAATAAAAAATAAAGGGATAATTTTTATTAATTTGCAAAATAGTAAAATACCCCCACAAGTTGAGATATATGCCAAAATGCCCCTTAAATTATCCCAAAAAAAAAAAAAAAAAAAAAAAAAAAGCCCGGCCGGGCACGTGGTTCCGTGCCAGTCTGGTAACCGAGGTGGCAGCCAGTTTCATGAGCTTGCAAATTGGGTGGCAGGTAGTGGGAGGCTGGGAGCCATTTTCATGAGCCCGGAAACTGTGTGGCAGCCTTCAAATACCCTCAAGAATCGAGTCACGAACCCAACGATGAGTCATGAAAACATTGACAGCCTGATTTGTCATCTCGAGGACGCTGTCCGACCAGATCACCTTCATGAAGTCGTGCAGGATGAGGTCTTTTTTTTTTTTTCCTTTTTTTTGTTGAACATTAGAGGAAGATGAGGTCATTGCTCAGGTTTTTTTTTTTTTTTTTTTTTTTTTTTTTTTTTTTTTTTTTTTTTTTTTTTTTTTTTTTTTTCTACACCTTTTTTTTT